ATAATATTCTAGTAAAACAATTATTTTTAATTATAATTTGATGTTTAAACTTTTTAATTTTTATTTCTCAAACAAGTCTTTCCTCACTTCTTATTTCTGAGATAAAAGTCCCATAAAAGTCTCCCCAGACAAGAATGATCCTGAGTTTATAATTAAACAATACTCTCTCTATTAGTTTGAGTCTTGTAGGGGAAGCACAAAGCAAAGCTAAAAAAACTTATACTCAAAGTAGACAATATCATACCATTGTGGAGAGTCGTGTTCATCTAATATAGTACCAGAGTCATGCCCTAAACTTAGTCGTGTCAATAGATTGGTAAATCCTCAAATGTTGAACAAGGACTCCAAAAGAAGAAAGGGAGTTGGGGGAGGCGTACTTTGTTAGAGGGGAGGTGTTGGATGATTTTATCCATGAGAGCAATGATCATGGGTTTATAATTAAAGAATACTCGGTTTGAGGTATTTTGGGAAGTCCAAAGTAAAGTCATGAGAGTTTATGCTCAAATGGACAATATCGTACCATTGTGGAGAGTCGTGTTCATCTAACACACCTAACTACCTCAAAAACTAGCGGTATACTTTTTTTGTTTTGTTTTTTATTCTTCTTTTTTTTTTCGCACAATCCAAAAATTGAAAATATAATAAGAAAGTTGCCAGGCTTTGTTAACAAGGTTGTATGGTCCATATCTTTTTTAAAAAGAATCGAGCCATGATTGAGGAGAGGCGTACATCGACTCATTTGGGTTTATAATATCTTGATTAAGGGGAGTCGGACTTTGTTTTAGGAGAGGTGTTGGATGATGAAAGTCTCACATCAACTAGTTTTGGGAAAGCCCAAAATAAAGCCCCGAGAGCTTATGCTCTGTGGATAATATCATACCATTGCGTAGAGTCGTGTTCATCTAATACATCTAACTACTTAAAAAAAAACTAGCTGGGATTTTTTTTTTGTTTTATTTTTTCTTTTTTACGAGGTCTAATGGTCCAGATCTTTTTCATAAAAAATAAGGTTATTTTCATTCAACTACCCATTTTCAAATGCCCTTTTTTACATTTTATTCTATATTTTTTATTATATCAATTAATAATTATATTAATTTGTACCATGAGTATCCATTTATTCTTTATATTATGTTTCGTTTAAATTCTTAAATTTTTATATAAGTAAATCAATTTAGAATTTTTTATATAAAATTTATTCATACATTAATTCTATTAGTCTATTTAAAGGCAGTCTTCCTAAATAATTTAAATTAAGTGTATAAAATTAAAATAGTATTAAAATGTATAACCAACTTAAAAAATTTCAACAACCAAACTAAGATTTATTAAAGTAATAAAATTAAAACGAATATAAAGTTTAACCAAACACCGCACACCAAAGAAAAACAAAATGTAAAAGGAAGCCTCTTGGCAGTTGGTGAAGCACTGGCACAATATACTAGAGGAGCACCACGAGTTTGAACGACAGCGTTTCAAAGTTTGACTTAGATTCAACAAAAATTATTTATTTTAATAATTTTCTACTAAAGTTTGCCGATCAATTTCTTACTTATGAACATATTCTCGTTCACCTTGACTTACACGTCCAATAACCCGCCGAGTTATTAAAAAAATGTGATTTAATTATTTTTTATTTTTACTCTTCGTCTAAAAGTCTAAGAACAAAAAATCAACCAAATTAGGTTGGATTAAAAAATCATTTTCATCCAGTTAGTTGAATGGATTAAAATCTTCCGTTTATATTGATTTATTGAGTATTATAAAATTAATATTAATTAAAATATTATATTTCGTTGCTATATTTTAATTTCATTTCATTATTAATTTTAAAAATTTGAATTATCTTCAGATTTTTAAAATTATAAATTTAAAAAGTAATTATGAAATTAAATATATATATATATATATATAATTATAAGTAAAAATGTTTTTTTTTTAATCCATCTCTAAAATTTTCATTTATTTAAACTAAATCTAACTTAAATAAATTGATAATTTAACCGAAATTGTACGAATTAAATTAGGTTAATTGAGAATATCCCTAAACAAATATGCTATGTGAAGTTTCTCCACGAAAATTTGATATTTTTATAAATGCTAAAGCTGGTAGTTTTATCACGTCAGTGTATTGTGTGTATATATATATATATATATATATATATATATATATATATATATATATATATGAAGTTAATGTTTGTTCAGCAAATTATAAGTTACTATTAACAATATTTATAAATATTCTAGTGACATTAATAATGTTATTCTACGTGCTAAAAAAATATTTTGATGATACTCAAATATTCACGTCCACATATTATCATATTTTGGGAAAAAAAAATATCATTTAAAATTTTCACGAAATTATAATCGACTTCTAACATTTTGTTTATATGGAAAAGAGAGAAAAATATTTATAAAAAAAAATCATTTAATAGCCGTCTAATCGGCTAATTATAACCGGCACTTTCGCAAGTAAACTATTTTTGTTTTTTTTCTTTTCTTTTTTTTCTGGTATATTAGTTTTAAAATGTAGTTTATATTGTTTTATTTAAATTTTTTATTTAAAATTTTTATAACGCGCCTAGTATAGAAAAATACATTTGTAAAGAATGATTCGTTTGTCTTTCAAACTAACGTAGGAATCTTACGCTTAATTTTGATTTTGAAAATATTATTAAAAAGTAGACAATTTGACCAGAAATATCAAATGAGCAAGAAACTAAGTCATAATATCTTTTATTAAATGTGTTTTGATTTTGAAAATTCACCGAACAAATAAGAATATAATTCTAATTTAATGAACCAAAAGTCTATTTTATCTCAAAATTACGATGCTTTAAATTTATTTTGAAGAGTTACTAGGATAATAAATAATTAAAAAAATGAAATGGAATATATATATATATATATGGACGATTTTATTCGGTTCAATTTAATATAATTTTAGAAAAATACATGAACCAACCGGATCTTGAGAGTCTCTATAACAACCCATATCCACCGCTAGTAGATATTGTCTTTTTTGAACTTTTTCTTTCCGGCTTCACCTCAAAGCTTCAAAACAGGTCTGTTAGGGGAAGGTTTACAAAATGTGTTTTGTTCTCTTCCTAACTAACGTGGGACATCACAGTGTCCATTTATTTAGACCCAACCCAAATCGTATGGGTTATGTTGGTTTTATTTATTTAGATTATCGAGTTTTTTTAACACCCACCGTGTTGTTATGTTGGAATTGGATGAACGGTTGATAGACGATTCTCGAAATCTATACATGTCTATAATATTTCTCGAACTTGATTTTTACTTTCCATATAAAAAATCTCCAATAACATCATATGGTTGAGGGCGGTATTTAATGAATTGCTGTTTTGAAACCTTAAATTCAGGACAGGTCCTAAGTTGGCAACTCATTAAAGTTTTATACTTGTTCGATTGCATTATCATTTTTTTCATTTTTTGTTTGTTTGGGTGAAAATTAAATGAAAATATCGTTATCTAGTGTCTTATAAATCAATTCAAAGTTTAATTCTAGTGTCTTATATTTTAATAGTATTTAACTATACAATTATATTTAATTTGAGCGACAATAATATTTAGTAAAAATAAAAATTATTTATTTTGGCGGTTAAATGTGAACGTTGAATTCCATAAATGGACCTTTTGTTCTCGTTTTGTGTTTGTTGAGATTAGAACTTTGTTGAATATATTGCTTTCTCTCCACAAATTGATCCCACGTAGTTGGTGAACCATAAATCCAACTAACAATCTAATAATTAATAAACGTCTCGATTTAAACCATTAATCTCTTAATATGTGTTGACGTTGATATATATATACATATTACGTAGCATATTAGGAATGAATTTGACAAAAAAAAAATTAAATCAAAATTAACCGATTTATAATATTATACGGAAGTATCGAGACCTTAGGAAAATCGAGAAATAAAAAAATTTCTCTTTGTAGTAAATAGTCAAATTTATCGTCTCACCTTTATTACTATTCATATACTTAATAACAACTTACCATTAGAGATATCTATTTAATCCGTACGTGTTCACCCCGAACAAGACGAAAAATCCCATTTAAAATGGAAACTAAGAGAGATAGTGAAGAGACATTTTTCTCTATCAAGGGCTGGCGATGGAATACCTCATCTCCGACCCTACTAAATTTTTGCCCCGATCCACTTTCTTTAAAACTCAAGATTTATTAATATATATTTATATTCTATAATTATATGTATATCTTTACTTATATATAAATAAATAAATAAGGTAAGTGTAATATTGAAATTTGAAATTTTATAAATTATATATTATATTCAAGGTTATAACTCAAATATTATGAAATTTATTAGATTAAAGTTATTTTTTTTAAAAGAAATTATCTATTAAAAATTTTTATTTGAAATTAATTAATATTTTTTAATATATATAAATAAAAGGACACTCATATCGAAAATTTATGCACATAGATTGAAATCGGAGATAAGAACGAGAATGAAAAATGCTTTCACGTCCCAACTTCGACCTATAGACATCTCTACTTATCAATCACATTCAACGTCGGGAATAAAGAAAATTACCGTATTACCCTTAAACATGGTTATGTTTCATAACGTTGCACCGTTTCAAAAAAAAAAAAAAAAAAAACTTTTCAAAACTAAGAACAAAAAATTAAAAAAAAAAAATGGTGGAGTCCAGAAAAAAAGGTTAGGTGAAGAAATGGGGAAAGCGAGTGGACTTATTGTGCAGCCATTAGAGGTCCTTCCTTCTTCATAGTCAAAAACTTGGGGGGTTGGTGAAAGCAATGCCCACTCGCCCTGTTTCCTCAGACCTCACATCTGACCACCAAACCTTTTTTTATTTTTTATTTTTTATTTTTTAATTCCCATTTATTTTCCTCACCAACCAAATACCAATTTTTTTAATTAATTTCTCGTCTCTATAAAATCCCATCTCCTTCTCATCCATCTTCAAACAAAATTCATATCTAATTTTTCTTACCTCAATTTGCAGCTTCAACAATGGCGGTCGAATCAAACCAAACCCACGAGTTCATTTTCCGATCAAAGCTTCCCGATATTCACATTCCCAATCATCTTCCACTCCACGAATACGTTTTCCAAAACATGTCCAAATTTGGCTCACGCCCCTGTTTGATCAACGGCGCCACCGGCGACGTTTACTCATACCACGACGTTCAGCTAATGTCCCGTCGTGTCGCTGCTGGTTTACACAATCTCGGAATTAAAAAGAGTGATGTCGTCATGAATTTACTTCCCAATTCCCCGGAGTTTGTCTTTACCTTCCTCGCCGCCTCGTACTGTGGAGCTGTTATGACGGCGGCGAACCCCTTTTACACGGCGGTGGAAATAGCCAAACAGGCCAAAGCCGCCAATGCCAAATTGATTGTGACGATGGCTTGCTTTTACGATCGGGTTAAGGATTTGGCGGAAAATGGGGTGAAAATTGTTTGTGTTGATTTTGCTGTTGAGGGTTGTCTGCATTACTCTGTTTTGAGTGGGGCGGATGAATCCCACGTGCCGGCGGTGGAGTTTGCCGCTGACGATGTGGTGGCGCTGCCGTATTCCTCCGGCACTACTGGTTTGCCGAAGGGAGTTATGTTAACGCATAAAGGGTTAATCACAAGCGTTGCTCAACAAATCGACGGCCAAAATCCGAATCTCTATTATCACGGCAGTGATGTTATCCTCTGTGTACTGCCGTTCTTCCACGTCTATTCACTGAACTCGATTTTACTGTGTGGCCTACGCGCCGGCGCTGCGATTTTGATAATGCAGAAATTCGAGATCCTTTCGCTTTTGGAATTGATTGAGAAACACAAAGTTTCAATCATGCCGATTGTTCCGCCCATTTTCTTGGCCATTGCTAAGTCGCCGGAATTTGAGAAATATGACGTGTCATCGGTGAGGGTTTTAAAATCCGGTGGAGCGCCGTTGGGGAAGGAGCTGGAAGACGCTGTGAGAGAGAAATTTCCAACGGCGGTTCTCGGGCAGGGATATGGAATGACGGAGGCCGGTCCGGTTTTGACAATGAGTTTAGCTTTTGCGAAAGAGCCGTTTCCAGTGAAAGCCGGCGCCTGTGGGACGGTGGTCCGTAATGCAGAGATGAAAATCGTTGACCCAGAAACCGGCGCCTCGTTGCCGGCGAACTCCGCCGGAGAGATTTGTATTAGAGGGGAACAGATCATGAAGGGATATTTGAATGATTTGGAGTCCACGAAGAGGACCGTTGACAAAGAAGGATGGCTTCACACCGGCGACATCGGCTTCGTCGACGACGACGACGAGCTGTTCATAGTGGATCGGCTTAAGGAGCTCATCAAATTCAAGGCCTTTCAAGTGGCGCCAGCCGAGCTCGAGTCGCTTCTTATCACTCACCCCAAACTCTCCGACGCGGCGGTCATTGGGTGAGCTGAAATGAATTATTTAATCAAAATACCTTAAAAAAAATTCAATTCTAATAAGAATTATTTATTATTTTTTTTAGTATGCCGGACGAGCAGGCCGGAGAAGTGCCGGTGGCGTTTGTGGTGAAGGCGAACGGCGGCGCAATAACAGAGGAAGACGTAAAGCAATTCATATCAAAACAAGTGGTGTTCTACAAGAGGCTAAAACGTGTGTTCTTCGTCAACGCCATTCCAAAGGCGCCATCTGGCAAAATCCTGAGAAAAGAACTCAGAGCAAAACTTGCTTCTGGGGCTTTCAATTAATTTAATTACCAAATTACCCAAATATTAACACACCAATTATTATTTCTTTTGTAATTTTCTGTTTGGTTGGTGAATTAAAATTCTGTATTAGGATTGTGAAACACAATTCTCACAAATACTTTTATACTTTTATACTTTACTTTATTTCGAAATAATAAACTTAATTAGTTTATTACTTTATCCCATTTATCATTTTTACTTCAAATTTAACACTAGAGGTAAACGAATTAAAATTTTAAAAATACAATTTCAAATATTATATTATATTTTAATATATAAAATATTATTAAATTTATTATTAACCACGACTCTCCACAATGTTATGATATTGTCCACTTTGAGCATAAGCTCTCGTGGTTTTGCTTGTGGGCTCCCTCAAAATGCCTCATACCAATGGAGATAGTATTCATCACTCATAAACCCATAATCTTCTACTAAATTAACGAACGTGGAACTCACTTCCAATAATTCTCAACATAAATTCTCGTGGAAAACTTGATCCTTGCAAATTTCTTACAAGAATCACGGTCTTAATTTATACAAAAATAAATAGCAAATTTGTACGGAGACGAGGATAGAGTTTATTTACGTTTTTACGAGAATAGAGTTTCTAACAAATACAATAGATTTTTGGTTTTTTTTTTATTTTTTTTATTTTTTATAATTTATATGCATTTAAAGTTTCGTGAATGAATTTATTTCTCTACTTATCAAAGTCCTATTTCTATTTGGATTCCTTCCTACAAAATTAAATGAGCTGGAAAATTAACTAAAATAAAACAATAAATTAAAATTATGTTTAGTTGAAGAAAAAAAAATTCTAAAATTTTAATTAGTTGGACTTAAAAAATTTAAACTTAATTTAATCGTTTAATCTAACCTCCAACTTTAACGTGAAATGTTTGACATTTTAGCCCTTCAATTGCAAGATATTTATAAACTCCCAAGATATTAATATTTTCTTTTGAAGCAAATGATTAAATTATATATATTGAAGGCAACATGGAAACTAAAAAAAAAAAAAAATAATAATAATAATAAAATAAACAAATAAATAAAAATAAATAGCTCTAAAGTCTAATTACTTGCAATCCAATCATTAACGGTCATTTTCTCGAAGGATTCCAATTTTAAATGAAGAAATAATTTTAAATTCCCATAAATTTTGAGAATATTTAATTTTAAATTATATCCAATAAATAATTCGAAATCTAATAATTAATTTAAAGCATTCACATTCTATATCCATCTTCCTCGTTTCTTAACTAACTTCATTTTTATCATTAACTTAAATATTTATTTTTTTATCTCTAAAATTTTAAAACATTATTATTTTAGCTCAGTAAAGTTATTTAACAGTTGAGTATTATTTAAAAATTAGTAAATTGTCGTTTTTTTACGCATACCTTATTATTAGATTGCATTTAAATAACTTCGGGAACAAATTTATTATGAAATTAGGCAACTTGCAAATGAATTTATTACACGTGTACTCGTATTCTTTATGAACATTTACAACGGCAAAAATTTAATAAGATTAAAGTCAATCACAAGTCTAAATATAATATATTGGTTAATAGTTATCCACGGATTATAAAATCATCATATAAGTCAAATTCATTTATTAATAATTTTATATTAGTTGACATTGAGAAAAATTTAAATATCAATAAATGATGACTTTCGATTTTGTTCAAAATAAATATATAAAATTTTAAATTTCGATTTTATTCAAATTAACTAATATTTTAGCTGGTTTTAGTGTAAGCATTCGTGTGACTCGATCTAATGATGATTTTAGCGGTTTTTTGATACACTATAAAACAAGGGCATTTTTGTCCATATTTTTACGGCAGTTGACCATTTATACAATTTAAAAAACATTTGACCTTTGATTAAGATGACTAATTAAATATGATCATCAACGTGGGAAATAATTCGAAATTGGGCCCATTTTATTAGCCATCTCGGCCCAATTGGGCAGTCCCACTGAGTGGAAGAGGTTCCGGAGTGAGCATCAAATGTCCGTCGGTGATGGGCTTTAGAGGAATTGGTTGGGCCGTCCCAATCGGCCTGAAAAATCTCAGCCCAATCAACATTTATCAAAACTTTAATACTCTTATTGTTTTAAAACCAATAGGTTTTATTAATAAATTGGATTTTTTAAAAATATTTATGGGAATTTTACAATTCTATTTTATTTGTACGAGTAAAGATGTTCTTGTAATAGGTTGAGTCGGATTGGTCCAAACAACTCCTATTAAATAAGAACCTAACCCAATTCAACCCTACATTTTTTGGTTAGTTGGGTTGAGTTGAATTGTTCGGATCATTTATTCAAAAAAAAAAAAAAATTTATGTATATTTTTAATTTTCAAACATTTAAAATTAAAATTAATAATTATTTTATTTTATTCTTCTTATATAAATAAATAAAAAAAGAAAATGACAGGTAAACTTCTGTTGCAAAGCTGTGGTGAACACGCCTCTCTCTAGTTGTGCCAAGGGGTCCCACTAGGTGGGCCACAACTGGCTGCCCCACCGGTCACGACCTCCTCCGCAGCCGCCTGGGTCAGTGGTAGGCCAAATATATTTGGAGATTTATTTTGGATTAAATTATAAGTTTATTTTATGAATTAATCTGTTTTTTTTTTTAAATATGTTTTAAGAACATAATTTATTAAGAAAGAGAGAACATTATTTGGTCATGCTCCATTGCCAGCCCTACTTTCTCTGTCTTACGCCCTTCCACCGCCCCTTTGAGAATTCCATTTAAAGTTGAAACCCAATAAAACGACATCGTGCCCCACCACGGCACGGCGGCCCACCGCCCACCAGTCGCCAGTTTCATGGGTGGGTACCGGTGGGCTCTCCATCTGATCCCCAAGACTGTTTCTCTAATTAATATTTAAATAGAAGAAAATATAAATTTGATCGTTAAAATAGAGAAAGGACAAAACAAAGTGGACTAGCATGATCAGCAGGGTAAACTTCGTCCAGCTCAAGCAAACAAATTCCACGTGGACAATTGTCATTACTAGTGGATCCAAGCTGGACGATTTATCCATGACTATGATGAAACTTGGGTGAAACTAAGTGGAGGTTTGAACCGACTAATATTAAAAAAATCAGTAGATGAGTTGTGGTTAGGGGTGAATTGCCACTTGAACCCAGAGCTAGCTGGTTCTCTCCTAAATGCGTTGAGGCGCAGTAGTTGACTAGACATCTGGGGGTAAAGCACCGTTTCAGTGCGGGGCGTGAGAGCGGTAACCAAATCGAAGCAAACTCTGAATGCTAGATATGATCTCAGAATCAAGGCCGGCCGGTAAGACAATGGAGGATAAGCTTCATCGTCGAGAGGAAACTAGCTACGACCCCTAAATGACCGCTGAGTGATAAATGAGGTAAGAGTGCAGAGTCGTCAAAACATTTGGAGGCAGTTTTGTCTAAATGCCAGGTCGGCATCCTACGTGGAAAGGACCCCATTGAAGAATTAAAAAAAAAGGGTAAAAGAAATGAAGAAAAGTTGATGGCTGGCTACTTCTTTTTCTTTTAAAACAGAATTCCCACTCTTCTCTCTCTTAACATTGTTCTGTTTTTTTTTCTCTCTCTTAAAACTCCATTGTTGTTGGTCCCAAGTTTGATGATCAAATAGAACAGAAACAGCTCAGAATCAATCATGGTATTTACAAATTCTTCGTCAACATCTGTTTTTCAGCTGAACTTTGGCCAAAATATGTGTGTTTTTTTTTAAAGAAATTTTGATTTGTGTTTGGAACAGGGGACTCCTGTGAATATCGTTGTCGGATCACATGTTTGGGTTGAGGATCCTGAGGATGCTTGGATTGAAGGTCAAGTTACAGGAATCAATGGCAAAAACGCCACCATACTCACTACCAATGAAAAATCCGTAAGCTCTCTTTTTCCCCTTTCCAAGAACATGGGAACTGACAAACATAGGATGAACTTCATGTTCAGCAAAGTGAATGAACAACTTATTACTTTCGATTTCAGATTGTGGCAGAAATTTCGCGTATATATCCGAAAGACACGGAGGCGCCGCCGGCAGGGGTGGACGACATGACGAAATTAGCGTACCTTCATGAACCGGGAGTTCTGCATAACCTAGCTTGTCGGTTTGCTCTCAATGAGATTTACGTAAGTATTTGATTACAGATTTTGGAGAATTTTTAGTTCGAATTCAAATTTGAGGGTTATGAACTGGACAGACATACACCGGGAATATTCTAATTGCGGTGAATCCTTTCCGGAGACTGCCACATTTGTATGATATTCACATGATGGAGCAGTATAAAGGAGCTCCTTTCGGCGAGCTTAGTCCACATCTTTTCGCCGTTGCGGATACTTGCTATAGGTACAAAACTGAACTGCAATATCGATTGCACTCACACACCCACAAACTGAAATTAAATAAAGAGACACAAAGATTTATGTGGTTCGGAGAGAAGAAATTCCCCTACATCTACAGGTGGTATAGTCAATCACTATAACCAAGTGTATATCTCAATGAATACAGAGAGTGAAGAAAGTACATTTTGAAAGTATTGCCCAGAGGAGTATATATATGGTTTTAGTTTACTATATATAGCTTTAACAAATATACCTTATCTCCGCTTCTATACTGCAAGAGCTTGGGTTGAAATTTTCTTTTCATGAACTTAGATCGATGATCAACGAGCAAGGAAGTCAGTCGATATTAGTGAGCGGAGAGAGTGGTGCTGGTAAGACTGAGACAACGAAGATGCTCATGAGATATCTTGCATTCATGGGAGGCAGATCAGACACTGAAGGAAGAACAGTCGAACAACAAGTTCTGGAGGTGAGTAACATGGCTCCAACATTTATGGTACGAGGTTTTAAAGTGTTGAATGGAGGGTAATGTTTTTTTTGAACCAATTCTTCAGTCCAACCCTGTATTGGAAGCATTTGGGAATGCCAAAACTGTTAAAAACAACAACTCAAGGTGATTTGTTCTTGTGTTCGATTCTTTGTTTCGGTTGCTTTGTTCATTGTCTTTTCCTGTCAGCTC